CCGTCCGGTTCCGGCGGTCGGACGAGCTAAAAGCCGTCCAGTTTTGCCGGCCGGACGGTATTTTTTTTTTACTTTTTGAAAAAAATGCAAGGGAAAAAATTGTCCAAGGGAGAGGGGGGCGGTGAGTAGTAATAGGGGGGCGGTGAATAGCGATTGAGTTTAACAACCTACATATCTTTATCCCTAACCAACCCAATCCAACCCAACATACTATTTATTTTTATTTTTATTTATTAAATATTATCTACAATAAATTTTTTGTTATTTCTTTGATTTGTGATAAATTAATTAAAAAAATTATAATTAAAAATATTGATTTCAAAAAATTAATATTTTAAAATACAACTAAAAAGAATATTACAAACATAATTAAAAATTGAAATTACATAATTCGGTACGAAATAAACTAAACAAGTTACAAACATTTCAGTCGAGTATTGAAAAGGCATATCATCGTCCTCTTCTTCTACGCCATTTCTTCTGTTCCTTCTTTGTTGCCTTCGTCCGTTTGTAGGCCTCTCATTCATAAATTCTGTAGGATCATAATAATTCAAGTAGGCGTTCCGTTCATCTTCTACTATCATATTGTGCATGATGATACATTCCATCATAATTCTTCCCATAAAAAAACGATCCCATACTAGACATGGTCGTTTGAAAAATGCAAAACGAGCTTGTAGAACACCAAATGCGCGCTCAACATCTTTTCTAGCCGCCTATTAGTGCTGAGCAAACAACTTGTGCTTTTGAAGTTGCGGGGAAGTAATTGATTTAGCAAATGCAACCTATGAAGGATATATACCATCAGTGAGGTAATATCCCATATTTCCTTGTTGACCATTCACAACGTAGCTAATTTCTGGTGCACGACCTTCCAAAATATCATCAAAAACAGGAGATTGATGAAGTACATTGATATCGTTGCACGAACCTGGTGTTCCAAAAAATGCATGTCATATCTATAAGTCATATGATGCAACAGCTTCCAAAATAATTGTTGGTTTTCCACTTCTTCTTGCATATTACCCAGCCCATGCTATAGGACAATATTTCTAACCCCAATGCATGCAGTCAATACTTCCCATCATTCCTGGGGATCCACGTTGCTCCCCCGCATGAAGTATTCTTGCCAAACTTATTCATTAGGTCTTCTGAGGTATTGGCCGCCGAAGTTAGAAATGACACCTTCTACAAATTTCATGAGAGATTCCCTCGTTACAACTTCACTTATTCGCAAGTATTCATCAACAATATCCGCTGATGTTCCATGGGCCAACACCCTTTTGGCTGCAGTACATTTCTGCAATGGTGAAATGCCCAGCCTACCAGTGGCATCATGCCTTTGTTGAAAACATTCGTCGTTGGTGGTGATTTCGCTCACTATACGAAGAAAAAGATTCTTACGCATGCGAAATCTCCGACAGAATACCTCTTCAGGATAGGTTGGATTGTCGGAGAAGTAGTCATTGAACACATTCGCCTCTCCTCTCTCTTGTTGCCTCTCAATGACTTGCATTCTACCTCTAGAAACAGGATTTGTTGGTTGTAAGATCATATTTGGAATACGAACAATCAAATCTTCCATAATACTATCAAATTGTTGATTTTGTTGAATCACACTTTCTTCCCATTCATCAAATTCGATGAAGTTGGAAGTTTCAGAACTAGAACTTGAATTTTCAGATGAGTTTTCAGTCGAAGACATTTCTAAACAAGAACGAATTGTCTTACGAAAAAACAAAGTTATAATTGATATAAAGAAAATAGATATGATCTGATTTTGATATCAACTTGATCTGAATCCAACCATATTATATAGGAATGTAGTATGAAGAGTTGGTGTAGATTTAACTTAAAATAAATTTAAAGTAAATGTAAAAGAAAGGTAAAGTAAAGTTAATATAAAGAAAAGTAAAGTAAAGTAAAAGCAAAAGTAAAGTAAAATTAAAGCAAAAGTAAAGTAAAATAAATAAAAGCTGCATGTGCATTCAATGAATGTAAATTTTATTGAATAAAGTGTTGTAGCACAAATTGTTATTTTTACCGAGTACCAAATCAAGGATTCGTTTCCCGGGTCGATCTCTCGAGGAAGGCGGTTCGGAATTTAACTTCGGTATTGATTTCACAAAAAAAGAAAATAAAAACTTAAACACTCTAATCAGAAATGAGGAATATATTATCAACTAAGAAATCAACAGCAAACAAAAACGAACCTAAAGTACGAACTAGAACGCGATAAAGAAGCTAGGAAATCGGGGATAATTTATTCAAGTTCTAAGCAAAACCGGGCAATCAATTGTTCGGTTCGAGATTGACACTCTTGCTTAGACATCTAGCGGTTCACTCCCAATAACTCTTCGTAACAAGGGATTGAACATAGACGAGCTAGCTCGAGCATACAACACATGTCAATTATCCCAGTCTCAATAATTTTTCGTAACAAGAGACGGGTCATCGGCAAGTATGTATTTCAATCCAAAACCTATAGACTATTCAGTTACGAAATCATCTATCTCATGCGAGCCTCGGTCTATGACTTCTCCCCTTTCGGTTCTAAAAGTCGCTAATTCAACTAGAAGGTGTTTAATCAACTAATCATATAGAACCAACAAACCCTAACTCGACAAATTAACATTCAATTGATACCAATTGCAAGATCGAAGTGTCACTCTTCGATTATATCAAGTTATCAAGTAAGAATTAATTAACCCTAATTAAAGCAACTCGCACAAGCAGGAACAAATTAAAGCCCAAAATAACGAAATTAATCAAGAACAATCATCCCCTATCCCTAGCAGAAAGGATTAGCTACTCATTTTTGATTTAACACAACAAAGTATTTCTCCTAAATTAACCATTATGCATGAATTAGCTACTCATTTTTGATTTAACACAACAAAGTATTTCTCCTAAATTAACCATTATGCATGAATTAATTCAAAGAAAAATTAAACTTACAATCAATCCAAGTCCAAGAGTTGAATCCATAATACAAGCTTAATCCTTGAAAGAAAATAAAATAAAGTGGTGGAAGAAGAAGAAGAAGGAGAAGAAGAAGAAGAAGAAGAAGAAGAAGAAGAAGAAGAAGAAGAAGAAGAAGAAGAAGAAGAAGAAGAAGAAGAAGAAGAGGAGGAAGAAGAAAATGGAGAATGGAGAGGAAGAAGATGGAGAATGGAGAGGAGGTTTTCAGGCTAGGGCACCCCCAATCGCACCCCCATTTCTCCCCCCTTGTCAAAAATCGCAGAAATTGGGTTTTAAAGGTTGAAACGCGCCCTCCACGGCCGCGGAGAGCTTCGAGACCGCGGGATTTTCATTGCTGAAATTTGGGACCTGGCAGCTTTTCTTCGCCGCGGCCGCGGAGACCAAAATCTGCACTGCACCATCTTACGATTTTTGCTCGTTCGGGTTCGTTTTAACTCAGAATTGAGTTCCGTTTTTTCCTACGTGTAGCTAACGAACCCCTCTATCTAATGGTGTCGGCTTCCCTACAAGATTCTCGAAAACCTGTTCTCCCGAGGTCTTCAAACTACACACCAAAAACGAAAAGAGAACAGAAAAAGACCGGAAAACAAACAGAAAACATCGCAACACTCAAATGAACGCAAAACACATAATAAATGACAAAATGATCCTAAAACCATCTAAATGACTCAATATGAGGGACAAAATAACAACGAAAAACGCAACAAAACTGGGACAAACATAAAGCTGCTATTTGATCTGGATTCAATGCATGTGAATTTTGGAAGACCAAATAAAGCTGCTATTTGATAGTAATAACTCATACACTATATTCCAAATAGCTCTTGGTCGTTCATTTTATGTGTGACTATTATACTAGTGGATAGGACAATCATTGAAGTAACATGTGATTTCTGAAAAAGATTAGAGAAAAACACTTACTAAATAGACTTTTATTGAATAACTTGAATTACAGAAATTGAAAAACTTACATCAAAATAACTAAAACGACATAAATGAAAGCTGCATGATAATAAATTACATCGACTTTCCAAATAAAATTGAAGTTAAGTGACGTTTCATCTCTTCATCTTCCGGCGATAAGTGGTCTTTTGCCAACAGCGTATTCAACACCATCATATTCATTTTTCTAATCTTCCTTTCTTCTTTCTTGCATTCCAACTCCATCCTATCGTTCGATATTTTTGTCATTATATCACATTCGTTCTTTCTTGTAAGTCTTAGTGCACGAATTTCTGCAGTGAACTCATCAAGAATGGAAGAAAATTGTGATGCTACCTTTTTTCCTTTTTTTTTTCGGCATATCTCTACCTTCGGGACAGGGAATCACAAAACCATCACTAACTGGAGTTTCTGAGGGAATTGAATAATCTCCATCTTCAATAGTCCTTGATCTTTTGGAACTGCCATTGCTTTCTTCATTACTCGCTTCATCTTCAGGGCGTGAATGAATTGAACCATGATCTAATTTTAATTCCCATTTGGGATGCTTCGCATGACTTCTTCAAACACATGCAAGTCTGTAAACTTACTACCACCAGCTTCATAAATTATATGAGCTTCTTTTTCAACATCTTTCATGCTCATTCCGCTCAATTTATTTTTGTATGCTTCCATGTAAGCACCTCTCCACTTGTTTACATTTTCATTAAGGCGTTTATAACGACCTTTCATTGAATCCAAGTTTCTTTCACCAATTTCTCCTGGATTTTCCATTCGAGCTTGCTCAAACATTTGAGCTATGCGTGACCATAATGAAAAACCCTTCTGATTCTTGCCACACAGTTTGTCTTCGCTACCGAAACACCAAGCTGACATTAGAGCAAGATCTTCCGCCACACTCCAACTAACATTTTTCGTTCCTTTTTGAGGATTTGTGCGTGTTTGTTGCACATTTTGAAATAGATTTCGGGAGATGTTTTGTGGGGGTTGGGCATTTACAAAAACTGAAAATTAGGTAAGATTAGGAGAAAATGGCTCTTGTGATTAATTTTTGAAATTAAAATTTTCAGAGTTTGACAAATTTTGAGAATTGAGGTAATACTCAAAATTTGGATCCATATGGTATTTGTTGGAAATTAAGAGAAATAAAAGAGATGATAAAATTAATAAGGTATGATTAAGAAAAGGGTGAAAAGAGAGAAATTTCAGTTGTGATCTAAAACATATCAAGAGTGGTCTCTATTTATAGAGAAAAAAAATACGAATTTTGATATATATTTTTTTTAATATATAATAAACTCAATTATTAAGTTATCTTATCTTATCAAAATAAAATTATTGCTTCTAACTAAAAAGGGACATGTGTCCCATCCAAATTAAAATAGGACTACACCAGGGGTCAACATTGAGCCCTTATTTATTTGTCTTGGTGATGGATGAGGCCACAAGGGACATACAAGGTGATATCAATTGGTGTATGCTCTTTGCTGATGATGTGATGCTATTTGACGAGAGTAGGGCAGGGGTAAATAGAAAGTTAAAGCTGTGGAAGGACACGTTAGAGTCGAAAGGCTTCAGACTTAGTAGGACGAAGACCGAGTACATGACGTGCGCTTTCAGCATGGTTACACATGATGATGGTGACGTTAGCCTTGACGGGCAAGTGGTGACCAAGAAAGAGACTTTCTGGTATTTAGGATCGATGCTACAAAAGGATGGCGGCATTGATGTTGATGTTAGGCATAGAATTGCAACCGGTTGGTTGAAATGGCGTTAAGCTTCGGAAGTTCTCTGTGATAAGAGGGTGCCACAAAGGCTAAAAGGTAAGTTCTATAGGACGGCGATGCTATACGGTGCTGAATGTTGGCTTACAAAAAGGCAACATGTCCAACAACTAAGTGTAGCAGAGATGCGTATTTTGCGTTGGTTCTGCAGGCACACAAGAAGGGATAGAATCCAGAATGAGGATATTTGAGATAGGGTCGGGGCGACTCCAATTGAGGAGAAATTGATTCAACATCGGCTGAGGTGGTTCGAACATGTCCAACAGAGGCCTCCTGATGCACCGGTGCGTAGGGGAGTTCTACAGCGGGTCGATGATGTAAAGAGAGGTAGAGGTCGGCCTAAACTCACTTGGGAAGAGTCGGTTAAGAGAGACCTTAAAGATTGGAATATCTCCAAGGATTTAGCGGTGGATAGGAGCGCTTGGAGACTAGTAATCAACGTGCTAGAACCGTGACTTTTGCTCCTTTCTCTTTTGCTTCAATCTCTTCCTTTTGTTTTGAGCTCTTTTTGTGTTTCTCTTACCATTGGTTCTCTTGAATTTTATTTCTAGCCTACCTTAATTTGCTTGAGACTAAAAGACTATATTGTTGTTGTTGTTNACCCACCCGGATCCGACCTGCCTTAAACCTCGCACTCTCATTGCTTCTCCGCACTGCAGGGTTTACAGATTTCAGCACGACTCGTTTATTATCTTCAACTTAACGAATCTCTCCAAAAAACCCTAGATAATACAGTCGATTTTCCAGTCAAAATTTATCAAGCATTTTCTCTACTATGAGACACCATTACGCCCGTCTCCTTTCACAAACCTTTACCCGCGTCTACAGACACAGCAAAATCTGTCCTCAAATCGAAAACCCTAATTCGTTTCGTTGTTTATCAACTTCAGCTCAGGAGCCCAAGTCCGCGCCGACCGAACGAGTTTACGCCATCGCCGATGAAATCTCCGGTCTGACTCTGCTGGAAATCTCGGATTTGACTGAAGTTTTGAGGCAGAAAATGGGGGTCGAGGAAATGCCCATGATGACGGTTATGATGCCGGGGATGGGGTTTGCGCCGGGGATGGGTAAGGGGAAGGGCGGCGGCGGAGGTGCGGCCAAGGAGGAGGAGAAGAAAGAGAAGACGGCGTTTGATTTGAAGCTCGAGGGAGGTTTCGATGCAGGCGCTAAGATTAAGATTATTAAGGAGGTGAGGGCTTGTACGAGTCTAGGGTTAAAGGAGGCTAAGGACTTGGTGGAGAAAGCACCGACTCTGTTGAAGAAAGGGGTGAACAAGGACGAGGCAGAAAAAATTATCCAGAAGATGAAGGAGGTTGGGGCAAAAGTGATCATGGAGTGAGGTAAAAATGATTGATTGGTTGATTGTTGCTTGTTGTTTCGAAGTCTTGACTTGAAAATGTTGCTGAGTTTAGTTTCTTTGGGTGTTTACATGCTGAATTTCTCTTTCATTTTTTGAGGGTTTCATACAGAAAGTGTGAAAGATTATCCGTATGGTATGATAGGTTCCTTGTTGATACAAATGTTTTGTAAACTTATTGACATATTGTGAAGTCACTTAACGCTTTACAATAAACTGGTTCAAGGGTGCCATATGCGTTCATCCAACTTATAAATTAATCATTCGGTTATTTTATTACAGGATTTAAGACATAATATGGCAATACTTTAATTAGTTCTGTCTATTCACAGCCATAGGTAGGATTTTGTATGCACAAAGTCTGAGGATGCATTTTTTAATTTCCTGAGCTCAATTATTCATTGTTCGCAGGACATTCATTCTCTCTCTCTCTCTCTCTCTCTCTCTCTCTCTCTCTCTCCCTATATATATATATATGTGTGTGTGTGTGTGTGTGTGTGTTCGGCTCTGCTAGTTATTGCTGATTGAAAGAGTTAATTGCTCCAAGCTTGAACATCTGATTGCTATTCTCTTTCTTCATTATTCTTGTAAAAAAATAAAATAAATGTACTTCATGAAGGTTTAGAATAGTGTATTCTGTAGTTAGCTCTCGTCTAATCACAAACTTTATCCAATCTATGTAAAATCTGTCTCTTCTTCATTCGCTCCCTCTACAAAATTAGCTGCATGGTACCTGTTGAATCATGTCCATTATATGATGGATGTAGACAACAATTGTGAGAGACACAAAATTTGTTCTAAGACTTGACATTGGATATAATTTCTTTCATACCGAGGGTTTTGATTCAAATCTTGTTAGATTATTGGTGGTTTTATTTGTTTCTCTTCACAACTTGCTGGGTTTGCACTTCTAAGGTATTACCTTTTGTTGGGTTCTGTAAGCCTTGAGATATTCTTTCTGTTTAACCTGTGCCGTGGCTCTTGTTTTTTTGCTTTGTTGTCTCCTAAAATTGTCAGTATGCTGTTACGTTCTCATGGTGGATGTATCAGCTAGTTTGCATCTCCCCATTTTGATGATTTAGTTTTGCATCTGGCACTAGAGTCTTGAGGTTATTGGGATGCCCCAATTGGTTTCATTGTGTCACATATTTGAGATGTTTGCGCTGGTATATTATGCACACATTGCACGTGTATTCACTTTTATTTAGGTGATTGACTTTAGTCGTATGGGTGTTAAGTTTGATTATTTTGTGGCATTGCTATATTCATGCGCGTGTGTGAATATCCCTTCCTCATTTTGGTTGTTTGGTGCCAAACCTGTTTGTTTCATTTACTTTCCAAAAATTTTTATTTACTGAACCTGTTTCATTTACTTTTTGGATGTTCTCATTTATTTTCACTGAGTTGTGGTGAAATTGTTCGAATAGAATTTATGTAAGATTAGATTGAACTTCTTCGCCTTTTTAAGATTTTGGTTTTTCTTTTTGGTTTTACATTTTATATTCTGTAAAGGAACAATCTAGGAATAATATGTGCATAACATAGGAATAATAGCATTAATTTTTTTCTTAAGCTTGAAATAAAACATGCAGTCACTTCAGCCCAAGGGTCAACAGGGCCAATTGCAAGGGTTTTTATTTACTTTATTTTTGAAGTTACTCTTTTGAACTCTCTCTCGAGCCATTGATGGTAGATATTCTTTTTCCCATTGTTTATGAATCTGTCAAAATTATCTTTTCCTTGTATGCAATATTTTCTTTTTGGCTGTTAAGGTTCCATCTGGAAATGTCTATAAATAATGATGATGTGTATATTTTTTCAACCTTTTCTGCTGTTGTCACCAGTAATCATTGAGCATGTCGGCTATATCATCTATATGCAGACTCCATTAGGCGATGTTTCAAAACAGGAACAACCTGATGTGCTAAGCAGCCTGGGCCTTTTATTGATCCAGAGGGTTTTAAGACTTGGTTTGGAAAACTCATGTGAAAGTGGTCTTGTAACATATGCCAGTTTTTAGTTCAAGTTCTCTCACATTTTTGTAGGGTTATTTTTTTGCCGCAAGAACCAACACTTTTGATTTGCTCGACTGCAACACTTTCGTATTATCCTCTTCATGTAGATGGCTTCACGATTGGATTGTCGGTTTATCAAATGCTCTAATTTCATCNTTTTTTTTTTTTTTTGTACTCGAGCAATGTATTACTTTGACATAAGTTTTGAATAGTTGTTTGAAGGAGAATGTGAACCTTACCACAAGTTGCTTTGTCATAACCTCTGTTTTCCAAGACTATCTGCTATGGAAAAAATATATATGTATTTTCACTGTATAAGTATAGATGTTTCCCAGTCCCTCACCATTTTGGGCATCAGAATATCAATCCGGGCCTCATTTGTATTATTGTATACATGATAAGTAGAGTTTTCCTAGCTTTGTCCTAGGTTTGGGCTCTATGACTGAAGCCTGGTGTATAACTGTGAAACCATCCCATGTATAGCGTATATAGGTTAATTTTGGGACTTTGTGTGAGATGGGATGATGCAAATGTCTTGATTTCAAGAGTAGCTTGAAATGTCTATGTTGTACGTGAAATTATATTGGAAATCTGATCAAATTCATTCCTGTCCAAAATTAAACCAAATGAGTGTTGAGCCTGTGAGCCCAGACGAAAGCGGCCCAAGAAACAATGACCACAAAATCTACCAATCTCCCCGATTGGCAAATGACCTCTGACCAAGGTTTTCAAAATCGAGATTCTAAGTAGAATCGTTTTGGGTGCAGAATCGGAATCGTAGAATCGGAATCGTAAAATCGTAAGACTCTACTCAAAACGTCTAAAATTAATTATTTTAACAAGTTTTATGGTAATCATCAAGAATATGTATCAAAATGCTAAAAAAAACCACCACTTGTTTTTCAAAATATAAATGTTCAAATTTTAACACTGCGCGTTCAAACTTCAAAGTTAACACTTACAAATACATAGACACGGCCATTCAAACGTCACATATAGTCCAAACTCCAAAGTCAGAACCAAAGTCACGACCATCAAGGCATCAACCAAAACTTCAATCTTCCTAATTCCTAAAACTGTGATTCTGTGAACTTCCCCTGTTCCAACAATGATAAAAAAAATAAATTGCAGGGAGATAAGTAGGGATAAATAGTTACCTCTAAACGGGAGAACAACAAAGCGATGAAGCTTAATTGCTGAGAAGTCTGCTCCGACGAAGAAGATGCAGGCGTCGAGGCCGAGCCATTTAAACGTCGGAGTTCGAACTGTCGGAAGCTACAACTGTGTGAACTGTGGACTGTGGAAGATTGGGGGCCGAAGAAGAAGTGAGAGAGAGATGGATTTGAGTTTAACGTCGGAGTACGACGGTCGGCCGGCGAGGGATGAAGGTGAAGAAGTCGCGATTCGCGACGGAAGAGCAGAGGGAATTAGGAGAAAATGAATTCAAATTAGGGATTTTAGGATTTTTGCGTATTTTTTATATTTTTTTTAATTAATTTGTTTTGGATTGGTTCAAGGGAAGGGAATATTTATGCTTCTTTGGGCCAATTTGTGTGAAAAAAATCGAAAGAAACAGCTCAAGTGCCTAAACGCAGCCCAATTTTAAAATCTGGTTCATTTTTAAAATTTTGCACAGAATCGGTCAAAGTCGTAGAATCGGTCCGATTCTACGATTTTGACCGATTCTACCGATTCTGCAGCGAATCTACATTCCTTTGCGATTTTGAGCGACTTAGAATCGATTTTGTGACTTTGAGTCGTAGAATCAGCGATTCTACGACTCAAAGTCGCGATTTTGATAACCTTGCCTCTGACGCTGATCTCATCACGAGTCTTCCTTCGAATGATTAACGATATTTCTACTGTTTGAATATGGAATCGTTAAAACTGATAAAGCCGCCCAACCGTCTAACCAGGCACATCTTCAAAGCCGAGTTTTGCATGGATACAAGCGGCGTAGCCTACACCCTTAGCTGGCTTATGACATTTATTACCCACTATCTTTTTCATATATAAATTAAGTCATCTCGGCTCAAAGAAACACAAGAGAGTACGAGAGCACAATAACACAATTACGATCATCATTGATCTTATATAACTTATCCATCACAAAAATTCCTATTATATTTTGCGGAGAATTCATACTCCTAGTCAATCTGCACAGCAAATCGACGACATCGGTGTTCTTTTATTTCATTGCTTTCATTTCAGTAATTTATTTTTGTTCTGTTAAAATTCTCACCAAACTTCAATTGCTTTGTAACCCTCCGAATTAACTGCCCCATAATTGCAATCCGTAATCGTTGGCGATCGACCGTCAACATATGTCATTTTTGTTATTGTCATGTAACTTTAATTTATGTCATTTAGGTAATAATAATTGTCGTGTTATTTCATTTTAATTCATATCATTTTAGTTATTGTCATGTAACTTTAAATGATGTCATTTTGGTAATGGTAATTGATGTGTGATTTTATTCGAAGTGTTTGTAACTGCTTTAATTAATTTCAATATTTTATTCTAATTTTATTTTTAATTAAATTTATAATTTTTTTAATTGTATGGTAAAATATTAATTTTTTTGAAATCATTATGATTTTAAATATTGATTTTTTAATTAGTTTTTCTTAACTAAAATAATAAAAAAATATATTATAGGTATACCTTAATAATAAATAAAATAAAAATTTTAAATTGACTTAGGTTAGAAATAAAAAAAAAAGTTGAAATGTAATATTGTTGAATCTATATCTATATCTACATCTACATAATGGACTAATTCTTATTGCCATAATTGACATGGTTTTGGGCGGGAAATTTTTTCGTCTATATTTGGTATTTAATTAAAATTTATAGCAAATCTTATGCATTAAACATAATTATTATTTTTTATACACACAATGACTATTATTCATTAACTACAAATTGGATTAAATTAAAAATTTGACCGTAGATTTATTAGATATATTTTCAATAAGATCTTATATTAATTTAATAGTAATGTATTGATACAATCCAAAAAAATTATTATAGAAATTGATTTGATTAAATATATTATCATTTATGGTTGTAGTTAGTAATTTAATGAATTATATTCACTATTCATAAGTACTTAAATAATTTAATAAAATAATCAGAATAACTATGTTTGAATCATACTAACTTGATAAATAATTTAAAATATTAATTAAAGTTTCTGAAATATAGTCAATTTAACTATAAAAATGTACATTCCCATTGAATATGCAGTGATAATTTTAAAATTAAAATAACAGATTAATAAAAATAAAATTTAATTATCGTGTGCAATCCTGAACTATAAATTACACCTTAGAAATATCTATATACATTAAAAACTAATCAATATTTAAAAATATATATTTTTTCTTACATACCATTTTATAAATGAAAATAAATTAATAAAATAACAATGTATAAAAATTTAAAATATAGCGCTTGGTAATTATGAAAATATATAATATATCTAAATATTTGAATAGATACTAATTAACTCATTATATAGGTTGAAAAAATGAATTAAAGTAATAAATATAAATAAGAAATAAAAATAAAATATTTAACCATAACAAATTTGTGAGTTGCATAAAGATTGAAGTTACTAAAAATTAAAATTAATTCATCAAGGTTTTTAACATTTAATGCACTTAATAATTATAGCGGAAGATAAAATTATGGGTTAAACGTTAGTCAATTATCAAGTAATGTGCAAATTATAAATTGTTGAAAAAATTGTAAGTAAGACTGTGATAATCAACAATGTTATAAGTACATATAAGTATTTTGTATGCAAATATCATATGATCTTACACATTTATAATATTTTTTATAAAATTCTTAATAATAAAATTTATATATTAAATAATCAAAACCTACAAAAACATTAAAAAAATGATAATAAAAGTAAATAAATAAATATCATATTATAACTGAATAGAATTTGTAGAGAATATAGTTTCATATTGTCTTAAATAATTTTATAATATTGAAAGAAAAAGATATGTATTTTATTATACCCATCGAACAGGTATCAACACTATAGCATCCACAATGCTTTGGGTTTTTAAAAAAAAATCACATGCCATGTAAAAAATAGACAGTCTATAAAAAAGTTTTTCACAATGCAATTAAAAGTAGACCTAGTCTAGCTTATGTGTCAATAAAAAAAAGAGACCAAGCTCATTCTTGGGTCTATTTTGGACCCCAAGTGTGAACATGTACAATCAACAATCATTTATTATTATTATATTTTTATTGGTTGTTAGGTATTTTAGACCTACTACTTTTTTTATATTGGATAGATTTTGAATTTTTTAGCTTGAGTTTGTCCATGTCATTATAGACTTAAGTATATCTATTTAGAGCATCCACAATGTTTGAGTTCAATGACAAAAAATTGTATGTCATCTAAAAAATAGACATAGTCTAGAAAAATGTATTATCCAATGCAAACAAAAGTAGACTATGTCCTACTAATGTGGCTGCCATAAAAAGAGACACGATCTACACTTATTTTAGACCCAAGTAGAGACATAGTCTCTTTGCATTAGATTAAGTTTTATCAATCTTACATCATTTTATCTATATCATTCAAGATTTGGGTTTATTTACATACCAATAAACAAAATTAGACCTAATACATTGTAGATGATATTAGCATATATGCAAAAAGAGACCACCGCATTGTTAGAGCATTGGTAGGTAAATGAGAGAAAGAAATTTTTTAATTAGGTGGGTTGGGGTGTGATAAAGCCTTAAAAGGTGGTCAAAGATATCTTCATCCTTCATCCTTCATCCGTTTTCTGCTTTTCGCCATGTGATTTCTGACACATTCCTCACCTTCTCGTGTTTGATACTTTCTTTTTTTTTTTTTCTTAAAAAAATTAGTATTCGATTAACCTTTGCTGGATCTACAAGAGAGAATTGCGTGGGTTGAGATTTATTTTTCTTTGTTTTTGTTTTCGTAGAATTTGATTTCGAGTAATGCTGTAATGACAACCTCATCTTCTAGAGGAATAAGCAATTCGCCGTTTTATCGCCAGAGACTTTCGAGCCCTTACTCCTCAACTTCCTCCTCGTCGTTGAAGAAAGGCCGCTCACTGCCGCGCTCGAACTCCACCTCGGCGATGTCGTTATACGGCGGTAGTTGCGGAGAAGGGTACGGCTCTAGATCCATGACGGCGGGTCAGGATAGAGGAGATTATCCCCGCAGCCCGGCGATGGTTCTTCCATCTGGCCGGCGAGCCCATGGACCATGGATTGTGGTTCGAGAAAGGAGGATACCATTTCAGTGACGATTTGGTTTCGGCCTTTGAAGTGAGTTTTTGACTTAGTTACAGATCTGAGTCTTGTTGATTTCGAATCTTCTGAATTAGGGGGCCTAGTGGGGTTTTAACTTGTTTTGACTGTGATGTTTTGTTTCAGTGAAAGGGAATATCATAGAGGAGATGAGGTCTCTGGAGACAAAATTGTGCGAAATGAGTCGGTCTGACTATTGCCTACGCATGTAAGGTTCTATCATGTGTGTTCACCTGTTAACAATTAGTTAGGAATTTAAACAGATGACATTACTTGAAGCTTTTGACACTTAGGGGCACTTAATATAATTTGAGCTGTTACCATTAGTATTTTTGATTTCTTGGACGACATACCATTGGTATTTTTGATTTCTTGGATGACAAATGAAGTGTTTTGGCCTAATACAAATACTCAAGAGATGTGTATGAAGTAGCTGCTCGACCTATGGTGAAGGCTGCAATGGAGGGTATCAATGGTATGATCACCTTGATATAGTGTGCTGACTTTGCTATTTTCCAAAACTATTGCTCAGTTGTAGTTCTTATACTTTAGTAGCAATGAGTGGCTTTTGAATATCACATTGCTCTGCTTGTTTGATGATAACAACAATGCAATTGGTTATTGTCTTGAGATAAAAAGAAAAAAAGAGATCCTTGAGCAATTCTTCATATCAAGGTTTATATTTCGAGTTTTTACTCAATTAAATCACCACATAAGCTGATATGCAGGAACTGTATTTGCTTTGAGTTACCAGCAGCGGAAAGACACACACTATGCATGTGAGTTAATTTCTCGTTGTGTTGTTTTCTTACTTGTATTTCCAGTTCATGGTTCAAATGACAGCCGAAACCATCGAATTCGCACACCAACGGTAGATAGGAACCGAACTGTCTACTATATAGCATAATTAACCTTATTCTTATTCTGAATCCGGTATAGCATAATTCACAACCAATTTAATATATCCCATGCTATAAGTTGCTAGGCGCCCGACCAGCTCCTAGAGCACCTAGATGGCGCTTAGAAATTAAGATTAAATAACTTATTTTTTACTAATTTTTTACTACCTAAAAAATAAAACTATCTCAACTTATAATAATTCCACACACCTAAGTCCATATAACAATAATAATAGTAATATATTATAAAAAAACATGAAAGACATGAAAACAATATAATGGAATTTGTATAAAAACAATTTGGAAAATTGCCACCGAGCCGCCTGACTCATTTTTTCGGCCGATTCATGCAAATCGGAGGCGGCCGACCTGCACTAATTGCCTAGGGCTATGCTTGGTAAACCTAGCTCATAAGTTAGCTTATAGTTTTTAAGTGAATTTTGAGCTAACTTATGACTTCTGGCTGAAAGTTTATGTGATAAAAGTGTTTTAAAATTACTGAGCTGAAATAAAAATTTCAATGAACTTATTTGAAAAGCTCGTCCTACCAAACCAAGCTTATTTGAATATAGGAAGCTTATAAGTTAGTTTATATGCTTACCAAACACAACCTAGGCCGATTTTTAATACACAGCACAATTTAATGATTTTTTTCAGAATGATTGAACTTATGAGATTTTGGTTTAATTTTCGGTTTATTAAATTATCTCCAGTCTTTCTAGATATGTACTCTATTATTGTATCTCTCACTGTTAGGTGATTCATGCACACATTTGAGCTTCCATAAGATCTAAAATGTATCTGAGTGAAAAAAAATTTGTGTGGCCTTCACCATTTTCATCTTCTTTTGTCTTACAGAAATTGAATGTTCTATGTGATGGATCCCTAAAACTTGATGGCGATAATAAAAATGATTCTTCATCTTCTGATATAACTATTGCATCAGATGCTTATTATTTTAAACGTAGAAGATCATACAGAAAAACGGAATGATGATATTTCCAAAGCTGGCAGTACTATAACTGAAACAACTCAAGCGGGTGAACTTTTAGTGGTTCTTTCTGTGGGCATCTAAACTGCCTATAGTATGTTCTAACTCCTTTTCTTTTAGAAAACCTACCTGTCAATTGTACATTATGTCTAAGCATCATTATTTTTGGCTATATTTGTGTTTGCTCTTGATGCAGAATTATGTCATTCTGAATACACCTTTAATGTGTCAATTTCAGCTCTTGAATTCAAGTTTAGAATATTGTTCTTTTGACTATTATGAGTAACTCCTTTTGGTACTTTCCTTCATGAATTGTAGGATGAGGTGACTGTCTCAAATCATATGGACCTCCTTGTTGAGCAAGTGAAGATACTTGCTGGAGAGATTGCATTTCGTACCAGCACAATAAAGCGTCTGTTGCAGCAGTCTGAATGATCCTGTTTCAATGAGGTAAAGTAGAATTTCCTTCTAAGAGATTATAAACTTTTCTGGCTCCTGGGCTCTTAATTTTGATCCTCTTTGCACTCCACTCCACTCTGTGCATGATCTAGAAGTCAACTTTCAAAACTCTGTTTGTTTGGTCATTACTTTATTTTATCTTCGCTACGAAGTTGAGAACTTAGTTTACACATGAGCATTGTTGTTTTAGGACCTTCTGTTCACAAGGAATTCTAGCGTCATAATTTATCGTTCTCATACATGTTCTTTTTTTTTTTGGTTTTTTTGCTATATCAATTTATGGTGTGTATGCCATTATTGTTTGAAGAAACTTGCGTGTTAAACAAATGTGGCGTGCTGTTGAGAAATCGTTTGATGGATAAGTAGTCCATTTCTGTTCTATTATCGATTCTTTGTTCATCTTTCATGGTATTTCTTGCTGTAGTAATTATCGTAAGATGAAATATAGTCTCAATTATACATATCTGTTTTTTCAGCTGCTGCACTCAGTGAGTGTTGTACATAGAATTTATCTCCTTCAAACGGTACTTTCAATATTTACTTTATCTTCCTTTTATTTTTGAATGTGTGATGATATGCAAAAGAAATAAGACGTAAAATGATATCAAATTTGATGATATTGTTCTCTTATGTGGGAGAGAGAGATCAATAGATCAAAGTATTGAATTTTTGCAAAAAATGTAGTGAATCAACAGATGAAGGTGTTGAGAATTAAGAAGACTTGGATCTTAATTTTTATTCTAATACACCTGCAAGTCCACCAAGCTCGCTAGACTTCAGTTTAGAGAAGAAATCAAAGATAAAAAGATTCTTTGGCTGAACTGAAGTGGTAGAAGTGGTAGTGTCATTGGTACTTCATTTCAAGAGTTTTTGAGCAAGCAAACAAAATGAAGAGAAACCAAGGGACATTGGGTTACATGAGGTTGTATTAGTTATACCGTGGCTTACTAGTGAAGAAGTTTCCAAAACTTAAGTATGAATGCTGATCTAGAGAAGTTATTGAAATCTCCTTTTCAAATCAATTCTTAGTTATATTTGAGTGCAGAGTAGGAAGACAGCTGAGCCAACATACGAAGAAGACGGCTGGTGATAGAAGCCAAAGATGATGGCGTTAAGCTTTTTTCTAAATAGTTGTATATATATATATGTGTGTGTGTGTGTGTGTGTACATTCTATTTATCTCAGCCTAGAAAGATATTAAGTGTTCTAGAAAAGATATTTAGAGCATGCTTGGATACATAACATCTCAAAATAATTCAAACATTTTTAACTCAATCACTTTTTTTAACTCAACTCCACTATCATCAATTTTATCAATATAATTAAATAATATCAACCAATCATTCTTACACACCATATCAACCTTAAGTCACTATTCATCCATACATAATTTTAACTAACCATCACTTCAAATCTTTTATTTCCTACTTTACATCAAATCAACTTTAAATATTTTATTTTAAATACTATTTTAATATACCCACTAACAACTAACCATACCAACATTTTCAAAACTAACCAAACCAACAAAAAAGCCAAACAAAATCAAAATTTTTTATATCCAAGCCTCCTGTTAGTCTTTTGAATTAAAAGCCTGCATGAAGTTCCAGAAGCTACAAACTCACCACTTAGGCCATGCAAATGTGGATCGTGCACTATGGGCCATGCACAAGAAGGTGGAGAAACACCTGTGCAATAAGACAAGATTTTAAGCTGTCAATATTATATAGATGCCAAAAGAATATTCTTTATCTACTTAAGGTTTTAGCATTGGGAAGAATATAACCTAGTCTAGTATAAATGCTTTGTGAGCTGCCACAGAGAGCTTTGCAACATATCAAACAAACAATTTCTTGTTCATATCATTCATGGTAACAGTCGCATGTTAACTTCATTTATCATTTATGTATTCCACAACTACCATTGAAAAGATGTGCTTTTACTCTTCGGCGACAAGGAATTTTTCTGATTTGGCATATTCCGTGTCTCTTTATTTTTTTATTTTTTTCCCTCAAATGTCAGGTCCATCATCAACAAATAATCATGTATTTCATCAAAGTGTTTGTTAAATAATTTATGGTTTCTTGACTATGTCAAAGTTTAATGTGACGACATTGACTATTCTCGCCATAGATGGTTTAGAGATTAATTTACATTTTCCAATATGGTGTTTGTTTGACATATATGTTGATTATGATTGTCCTCATATTTTTGTATTTTTTTTTTTTTTNATTTACACTTTGTTCTTTGTTACACGTCGAGTGGTGATCCATGTTGGTCCCTCCCATGGTGCAATAATTATTGGGTGAGATCTTCCGCGACAGAGGTATTAGTTGCGGCTGATTAACGTGTCCTGCGGCACACATTAATCAACAACAATAACTCTAATGCGGAAGATCTTACCCAGATAATTGTTTTCCTACCAATTGTTTTCCATGGGAGTGACCAATAGAGTACATCGAATACGTCGCTCGACCTATAACAAAGAACAAAGTGTATGCAAATAATTTGAAAAAATGTGAGGGCGTAGTCAGCATATATATCACACTTATCTCTAAACCAACCATAAGAATAGTCATATTAAACTTAAGCTAGTATCGGTTTGTCCATTGCAAATGAAGCTGGAAGAGTCATTGTTGACAGTTCTCCTGGCATAGTGCTAATAATGGACTAGATCAAAATGGCTCAATTAAATTCTAGTGCTTCTTCTATTAGTGAAGTATCTAGAAAAAAAAAAAATATATCAAACGGCGCAATGCACCTTGAGTCGCTACGGAAACAACCTCCTTGTATAATTACAAGGGTAAGGTCTGCGTACAACTGACCCCCAGACCCTAACCTGTTGGGAATATACTGGGTATGTTGTTGTTGTTGTTGTAAACTTAAGCTAGTATCGGAAAAATAAATCAGCAGGACATGATTATTTGACAAATGACATGGAGCTTAAAAGAAGATGTGGAATAAGCCAAATTAGAAAACATTCCTTTTGTTGCCCAAGAATGTAAAGACACATCATATTAATGTTATTTGTGAAATTGGATAAATGTTAAAAGAAGTTAACATGTGGCCCATATTCATACTGAAAAATCAGAGTTGCCATGATTAATATGTGCAATAAAATCAGAGCAATTCTTCATATAAAGATTTATATTTCGAATTTTTACTCACAATTTATCAGCACATGAGCTGATATGTTGGAACTGTATTTGCATATGGAGTTGCCAGCAGCGAAAAGACACACACTATGCATGCGAGTTAATTTCTCAGTGTGTCATTTTCTTACTTGTATTTCCGGTTCATGGTTCAAATGTCAGCCGAAACCATCGAATTAGTATATTGGTTAAGTGTTTATAACATCTAAAAGTAATGACCCAAAATGCCTCACCAAATCATCTACGTGTGACCATGATATGTTTTTTCACCATATGTTTAGTGTTCATAATTATGGTTAAATGTTTTGTACCATTTGAATTTCTTTGCCCTGTTTCTGGACTCCGAAGCTAGTGTAGGGGTATTTTGTAAAATTGGGAGCTGCGTAATGCACATTGGTGAATTATTGCCTTTACAAATCTTATCAGGGAGATCAAATTTCTCCGGGCATCATACCATTGGCCATAAAGGATGTTTTCAGTATCATCCAAGATGTAAATTTGTTGCTTGAAACTTCTACTATGTTGAGATTCAACAATTGGATAATAGATATACCGATCACTGGTCTTAGTTTTCTTACTTTGATTGTCATATCTCGAGATTTACAATGACTCAATGAGGTCAATAAAGGATGTTTTATGATTCTGCCCTTTGAGTTTTAGCACTTAATATTTTAGTGCCAGTGAACTCATATGTACCAAATCTTAAGCTGCCATTTTGGCTGCACAAATATCTGAGATAGCTGTGGGAATAAGCGCCTAGAAGAGAGCTTTCACTGGCTTTTTCTTACTATGAGGATGGATGTAGATATAAGTCGTCTTTTGGCCAGGGCATTAGCAGAGCCGCTGGTTTCATTCTATAATCATATGTATCTAAGTCCTCGATTGAATATCTCTTATACTAGTTACCTGGTGATTAATGACTTGCTGGATCCAACTGGCCAGTTTTTGCGTGTTAGAGAGGACACACAATTTTTTTTTTTTTTTTTTTTTTTTTTTTCACTCATTATTATCTGTTTTTAAGTTCCTTGTGGTTTTTCATATTTATTTTTCAGTTGTCAATCATTACATCAGATTATGAGAGATTATCACCTGCACATTGTTAACATGGTTTTGGTCTATTCAAGTTTTATTGAGATGTACAAAATACTTTATTGACCATGTGGAGTAACAATATCTATTAGATGGAACCATTTCTCATTATCCACATCCAACAGCTGACTCCATTAGATTCTCCTGTTTTCGTCATCTCATTTTATTAGCCTTTGTGAATGTGAACAGGGAAGGTATGTAGAGGGTATAAAGGAAGAAGTTGTTTTGTCACCTAGACACGCTCTTTCATTTATTACTGGAGGAGAAGGTATCCACACTTGACCCTTCATTCTTTGCTTTAGAGCTGCATGCGGTCATTTATTTCGTCAGATAATGTTGATGCTTGACATGGGTTCTGTTTTCTAATTTAACAACAATCATCATTTAAAACTTACTTTACAAGTATTCTATTTAGTTGGCACTTTTAGTTGTGTGCTTCTTTCTTGGACTTTTCTTGTGGTATATTTTGTGACATTGTATACGGTTTCATTATTTATGTCCGCTTTCTCAAATCATGCTCTTCTTTTGTTTCCTGGATTGCTCATTTTTTATCTCTCACAATTGTCATTTATCTCGTTCGATATAGAAGATTGATAGTAGTACACATGGAGATGAATACGATGGTGTTATAGTCTCACATCTATTACGCATATTAGATATTGTCTAGAATATGAAAATATTGTTTATTGTTAATATGTATAGATGTAATACCTTACAATTTTATAATTGGACTTCAATTTTAGTTTGGCTTTTTCATTTTTATATAGAATATAATTGATTTAGCTGGATCGGAGCTCAAAAACTAAAACAAATGGGTTAAGGAGAAACCAAGAATCCTACATCAGTAAAAGTTTTCTTACACTTGGAACTGTGAGTATATGTACTTTCCTTGAATTCTTCTTTGTTTCTAATCTGTCCTTAGCAATCTCTCTCTTCCTTTGTATGTTATGCATTTTCTTGTGTGCACAGTTTTGCAATACCGTAACTTAACGTGGCAAACTGACTCAAAAAACACATTCTTAATCACAAATCAGCATGATTTCTTATCTTATCTGAAACGTTTTTCAGCTGTTACTTCTGTTATGTGGTTTTTCTCCGTATAAAGGTGATTGGGAAACTTTAGTTAAGGGAAAGCATCACATGTTCGTCGTTATAGGACTAAAGTTTACTCGTCTTTTACTGTCTTCACAAAGTGGGCATGGGCATCTTTCCATAAGCGTCCAATTTGGGATTCAACAATGTCATTATAGAATTTAATTTGGACGCTTACCGATATTTGGATGCTTATAGAAACATGGCCATGCCCACTTAGTGAAGATTGTAAAAGACGAGTAAGCTTTGAGTCCTAAGGAACATGTGATGCTTTCCTTTCACTAAAGCTTCCAAATAACTTTTATATGGAAAAAAATCCACATGTTAGTATAGAAAAACAAATAGTGACAAAAAAATGTTGAAGATATAGAAAAACGTTTCAGATAATATAAAAATCATGCTGATTTGATTTGCCAGTAAGAATGTGTTTATTTGAGTCAGTTTGCCACGTTATGTTACATGTATAACAAAAAACTGTGTAGAATAAAAAAATAATATGCAAATGAAGAGATAGATAAGAACAACTATAAACAAAGAAGAATTGAAGGGAAGTACATATACTCACAGTTGCAAGTGTAAGAAAACTTTTCTTGATGTAGGATCCTTCATTTCTCTTTAACCCAATTATTTATGTTTTTGAGCACCCATCCAGCTAAATCGATTAAATTCTATAATAAAAATGAAAAATCCTAACTTAAGTTGAAGTTCAATTATAAAATTGGGAGATATTACATTTATACATATTAACAATAAACAATGTTTTCCGATTCTAGACAATATCTAATACGCGTACCAACTATGAGAATATAACCCCATTCATCTCCATGTGCATTACTTTCAATCATCTATGTCAGACTAGATAAATGACATTTGTGAGATAAAAAAATGAGCAATTCAGTAAACAAAGGAAGAGCATGAATAGAGAAAGTGGAGATAAATAAACAGACGAATATATGAAAAGATAAATATATGGAAAGGCTAATTACTGTCAACCAAGAGGCCATAGGGATCAGGATAATGAAACTATATACATTGTCACAAAAAAGTACCACAAGAAAAGTCTAAATAAAAAGCACACAACTAAAAGTGCTAACTCTCTTCTGTAAAAGTAAAACGAGCATGTTTATTATGTAATCAATCCTTAGTTGTATTTAAGGAGGAAAAGTGCAGAGCCAACATACGAAGGCAGAATTGTGATAGAAGCCAAAATTTGGCTCACAAAGACGGAATGGTGATAGAAGCCAAAGATGATGGCGTTAAAAAACATCACATTTTTATAAATAGTTATATATATATATATATATATATATATATATATATATATATATA